CGAAACCTCCCACTAAGTGCCTCAAAAAAGGCGCAAAAATTGTTCACGACGACGAATTTGTATCATGTTTCGAAAACTGTAAGACATTACTTACCAACGACCGAATACTTCAGTACCCAGACTTCACAAGACCGTTCAATTTGACAACTGACGCAAGCAATGTAGCTTTAGGGGCAGTTCTTAGTCAGGGTCCAATCGGTAGTGATTTGCCTGTAGCTTATGCGTCACGAACCTTAAATGATTCGGAAAGAAATTACAGCACTACCGAAAAAGAGTTGTTAGCTATAGTGTGGGCTACCAAATATTTCAGACCTTACCTCTATGGGCAGACCTTCAATATTATAACAGATCATAAACCCCTCCAGTACCTTTATTCATTAAAGGAAGGCGTCTCCTCAAAATTAATGAGATGGAAAATGAAACTTGACGAATATAATTTCAAAATCATCTATAAAAAAGGCAAACTCAATACAAATGCTGACGCTCTTTCTAGAATCGAAATTCATACTAAGGAAACTAACGATTTTTGGGAACAACTCGATGACTTCCTTGGAGAAGCCTCCAACTATCAGAATCAAAGAATTACCTTTGTAGATCAAAATTTAAACACACCTCCCACGACACAAGCTAATCCAAATTCACCACTGATAATTCAAGATATTAGCTACCCCAATTTAAACCCTGAACTAGACGATATCTCAATGATTGTCAACTTGGACAATGAAACAGATCAACCTGACTGTCAGGAACTTCCTACCGCTGACAATACAAATACTGACAAAGATATAATCAATGAAACAGAACAAACTGACTACCACGTACTTCCTTTTGTTATTGACAAAACCAATACTAACGAAGACGAACTTGACAAGGATGATGAAACCCGGCACTCTATCAACACCCGGTTATTACAATTCCTATATCAGACCAACCATTGAACTTTGGCCAAAATCAGATCGTAATTAAAACGGTCCTGCACTCTCCCGCCAAGCCGAAAATCATAATTTTATTCGAGAGAAAACAGCGGCTATTAGTGCAAATTTGAAAGAACAACCTTGAATCAGATGTTGTAAATTTTGTCAAGGAATATATTGTACCCGATGTCCCATACTATATATATTTCGATGATCCTGACATATACGAACCCTTCTCAGGCGCTTTACAAAAGTATTTTAAATGGCCCTCTATCAAGTTTAAAAGGAGTCTTGAAAAACTTCTAGACATCACTAGTAATGATGAAATTAAAAGTTTAATACAAAATTATCATGAAGGGAAATCAAATCATCGCGGGATCGATGAAACCTATTTTCGCTTAAAACAAAAGTACTATTGGCCAAATTTGAAAAGTTCCGTTCAGTCATACATAAATGACTGCGAAATCTGTCAACAAGCCAAATACGAGAGACACCCTGTTAAAGCGCAAATGAATATCACTCCCACTGCTGTGAAGCCATTTGAAATAATTCACATGGACACATACACATTTGAAAAATCTAAATTTTTGACCATTATCGATAGTTTTTCAAAGTACGCTCAAGCTTACCATCTCAATTCAATGACAGGTACCGAAGTAGCTGACAACCTTATCCGATACTTTTCCCATCATGGAATCCCGACACAAGTTATTACTGACAATGGCACCGAGTTTAAAAACTCAGTCATATCCGAGTTATTAGGTTTACATGGAATCGAAATACATTTCTGTTCCCCGAACCATCCCCAGTCAAATGGCGTAGTCGAAAGATTTCATTCGACAATATCTGAGCAACTCCGAATTTTAAACACTCAAGGCTTTCAAAAAACATCTGTCCAAATGAAAATGATATACGCAATCTTAGCATACAACAACTCTGTTCATTCTGTGACTAAATTAAAACCCATCGATGTCATAAATGGTCATCTCAGTGAAAAAGATACATTTGACATCAGCTTAGACCAAATTTTGTTGAATGATTATGTAGAACAACACAAAGCACGCAGTAAGCTATTATATACCAAAATCAACGAGGCGCTTGTTCAAAATAAAGAAAAAGTAATTGAAAAGGCAAACATAGCTCGAGATAGTGCAAAAATATTTCAACCAGGTCAGAAAGCATTCGTTAAGAAAAATATACGTCAGAAAAATGCAAATAAATTCCAAAAACTAACATCAGTCGATCCTGGTAAAAAGACCGCTACTACTGATAAACACAATAAAGTACATATCGATAATTTGAAGCGTCCCCTTCGCAAACCATGTTCATTTAGCAACTAAATGTTTCTCTCCAAGTACGACATACATACATGTAGGTATTATTCATTTGCAGATTCCTGCAGTAACGGTTGGACTTCAGGAGCATAACTATACGTAACCTCGATAACAATCCAGGACTACTTCCCGTGGAAATTGGTGAAACAAAAGTAAAAGACTATGACTTTTCACTCATTCATTATTATGATATGAATCCCATCATTTCTGAAATTGAAAAATTATCAATTTCCTCCTCACGTATAGCAGAAATCATTTCTTCAAATTTAAATGTCACTACATATTTGTCCAATTATTTCAGAACATTAAAATTTGTTCAGCGACAGGTAGAACAAAAGTTACATAATATATTTCCCCATACAAAGCGAGGAAAAAGAGGCATATTAAATGGCATTGGGTCGATATTCAAATCAATAACTGGAAACCTTGACGCCAATGTTGGCGAACGTTTCGAAAATCTAATTCGAGAGCTTCAAAATAATCAAAGAGAATTGACTAACAGTGTCACACAAAATAATGCACTGTCAGTATCTCTTATTGATAAGTTCAATAAAACTGTTCAGCAAATCTGTCATAATGAACAATTGCTGAGTAATAAAATTAATACCATATATGCAATTGTTCATCGTACTACAATCGATTCAGATCAGCATAAATTCATAGTAGACACAGGATCTCAAATTATGAACAGCTACGAAGTAACTCTGTCAATATTACAAGACGTTGAAAATTCAATAATTTTTGCACGTCTTGGAACAATTCACTCTAGCATTATTACAACCGAAGAAATTTTTGGTGAACTGAAACTATTGAGCTCAAGATTAGGCCAGGAAAAATTTGCGATTCCAGTTTTACTAGATAACATACCAACTTTTGAAAAAATAATCAAAATCTCCAGTTATTCTGTGGGCAACAAAATTACATTCGTTTTATCATTCCCAATCGCATACTATGAGTCATTTAACTTATATCGTCTCTTTCCAATCCCGATATATTTTGAAGGTCAATTTAAGACTATCATTCCAAAGGAGCCTTATTTGGTAAAAAATGAATTGCACTTTGCACTTTTCGGCGACATTTGTACTGAAATTGCTCCTAAAAAGTTTCTCTGCGAGAAGACCATCGTGCGAGACATTAATGGTCCATTACCCTGTGAACTTGAACTATTCAATGGAAGAAACGCCCCTGCATGTGCCCGAACTCCACTGATAATCAATCAGCCAAGTATCGAACGAATCCAACGGACTAATCAATGGGTATTGATCCTGCCACTACCAGAAGTTATCAAAATGGAATGCCACGAAGAAATGCAAATGAAAAGATTGACGGGAACTTACCTACTTTATATTCCTGTCAACTGTCAAGCCGAAATTAATCACCAAATCATCAAAAATGAACCCGAAACGATTGTCGCGGGCCAACCTATAATATTCCCGCATTTAAACCTGGACACTAAAGGCGACATCACAGAAACAAATTTCAGTCTACATCTAGAAAAAATTAAGCTAGACGAGTTAAGTAAAATCAAGTCAAGCATTATCAACAACAAACCCAACTTCAAAAAACCTACAGAATTTTTTAAACCCAGTGCCTGGACACTGATAATATATGGATGTATATTACTCTTGGGTGTCTACGCATTCTGGAAAACCATGTTGAAGAGGAGGAAGCTCAGAAATAGAAGTATTCAACAACCAGAAGTCGAACTTCATCCTATTCAACTTCCTTGAAGAATTCTTCCCCGAAGTTGAATCTCAGGGGGGAGGAGTTATATCAGCCGTTCCTGCTGATATGATAGGAATACTGCCGACGATGCTACGAATTTCCTAGAAGACCTAGAGTTTACTTTATTGTTCTCAACACATTTTACAGTCAGTCAGATTTAAGCCTTTGTACTGTTTACATCATAATAACATTGTAATAATTTTGTAAAAGTACAGTTTTGAGTTTTGTATTTTCGAAAAATAAACTTTTTAAAAAGCGATCTCGAAGCATCGATCTTATAACTCATGCGCCGCACACAAGTAATGAAATTTACTTTGTGTGCGACACATGCCACCGGAGGCATGTGTAGTTTTACTGCAACCTGTTTGTTTTTGAGGTTATGTGATTTGTGTACAATACAACAAGGGTGTTTGAATTGAACAAAAGATGTCTGAAAGAGCGAAATACATGGTAGAAATTGCCAGAAAACAAATGAGACATGCAGAAGTTGATGAGAACTCAGGTGATATATTGCAAAATGGTAACGGTAGTTCAAAAAGTGTGGTGTCGGAAGTTTTTCAAGAAGATGATTCCTTTGGTGGTAATAGAGCTGATAATCAAGAAACGGACCGCAGAATTGAAGAAGAAAGTGCTGTGTTAGGGTGGATCCACACTTGATCATTTTCGCGTATCAGATCTCCGTCGCGTGGCATCGACGCGTATCATGTTCGCTAGTGTATACACTTCGTATCATGATACACCCCGATCGCTATTAACCGCGTATCTGATACGTGTCGTATTGGATACGCATATCATGATCGGCAGAATGATCTAGGGTGGACGCATTTTGATACCGTGTCATGATACGGTTATGTCATTTGATACGTGATACGCCGCGATCCATCTCGAGGCGGTTTTTCCCCGATCATCAAAAGCGATACACAATAATACAGGATTAGACAAGTTTGCATTCACATGTGTACATTTCGTGTGAGCGCAAGGCACGCTACTCCTCCGATAGTTCCTGTACGTGGATGCTTTTGTAATCATGAGTTGGGATAACGATAGTGTGATACAATTGATTGAAGCATATAACGTAAACTTAAAGAAATATTGTGGAACCCTCAAAACCGCAACTATTATAATAGATTACTTAAAAAAGATGCTTGGGACGAATTAGGGACCGAATTGCAACGTCCGTCAGAAGAAATAAAGAAAAAAATGGATTACTTGCTTTCGGCACTTCGTCGAGAAAGACAAAAGATAGCAAAATCCAAGACAACGGGTCAAGGTTAGTAGATATTACTGTCTAAATGCATATTTGTAATTATCACAGTGACCGGAATGTTTTGGCGTAAATAGTTTTGAATAATTAAAAAAAATTGGCGTTAATTAATCATTCATAGGTCACATATATCAGAAGTAGTAGTATGTAGCTATATTATAGCTATTTTAGAATAGTTACGGTTTCTTATTTACTCGCCACTGTTAGTCCGGTTTCCCCACACAAAAGATATGCAAGCCCAGGGCTTCGCCAAGACTGAATAAAATTCAAAATTTAATTGAGAGTTGTAAAAAGTAAATGGTAGTTTACGTCGAGTCTCAAAAAGTCCTTTTCTCAAAATGTCCTTCGTAGCAATATGTCCTTTTTTTCAAATATCCTTCCTCAAAATGTATCTGGTCTCATTGTGAATGAAATTGACATTAAAAGTGAAATTACCAGTGTGTCTATGAGTCTATGAAAAAAGGACTTTTTGAAAAAAGACAAGTAACAATTTTTTTGTATAAATAGGTAAACTTTTTCTTGTGTTATTAGCTAAATTATCCAATTTGAAATTTGAATTTCATTCGCTCTTGGCGAAGCCCTGGGTTAATGTCTGGGGTGATTCTACTATGTAGTACGTCAGGTTATTTTACGAATAATAGTTATTATCATTCAGTATTATTTTTATTTCATTTCTAGGTGCAATCTACCTGGTTTGCATTACCACATTTAGAATTTCTTCTTGACAGAAATAAACCTAGAGCTGTAAGACTAAATACCGTAAGTACAATAATCTTTACAGGTACGCGCATAGTATTTTCAAAGCTTTCTATGGTAACGTTGCCACAACGTAATCTATAACAGTACACACAGTTATTCCTTACAGAAAAAAATGCAATTAAATCTACTACATCCCATTTTGCCACGGTAACGTTGCCACATTAACACAATAGTCAGCAATTTGATCTCTCATAGTATGCGCTGTTAATTGTGATCTTCGACCAACGATTGTTAATGGCAATAAGGAATTCATTTCGCTATTATCCCGCCTCCATCTTCCAGGTGTTATTATCCCATCCACCTCAGTATCAAATGTACCGGGTGGGGTATATAAATTCACAGAATTTTGGCTTTTGCGTAAAAAATTATGAAGAAGGCACACAGTCATCACTACCAATTGTGCCTTTTCCGGTTGAAGCAGCATTGGTTTTCTCAGAACTCGAAATACACTGGCCAGAATACCGAAAACGTTTTCTACAATACGTCGAGCCCTCGATAATCTGTAGTTAAATACACGTTTTGTTGATCCTTTGGGATGTTGGCCTGGATAAGTCTTCATGATATGGTTGCTTAGAGGAAATGCAGTATCTGCTACAAAGTGATATGGAATAACATAGTTGGTCCCGTCCAGTTGTTTGGGAGGTGGGAGATTCAATGATTCGTTGTCAATTTTTTCCTTCAGTAATGAATCATTAAAAACACCACCATCGGAAATTCTGCCTTGAGTCCCAACGTCGACAAATATAAAATTGTAGGAGGCATCTACTAGGGCCAACATAACAATACTGAAAAACTCTTTGTAGTTGAAAAAATCCGATCCTGTATTAAATGGAGCCTGCAGCATGATCTGTTGACCGTCCAATGCACCAATCACGTTGGGAAAGTTCCACATGTTCATAAACTCGGCGCTGACTTCTTTCCATTTCTCCGGCATATTCGGTAACTGAAAGAAAAACAAAAAGTATAATGAAACTAATATTAAAAACAAGTGTGAAATCGAAAACATCTGACAATCTTATAGGGGTGAATGCACACACGCATAAGAACAACTTTTTCTGTGGGGCCAAAATAAATGAAAACATCTGCTGTTGCATAAAAATCATTGACTTTGAGATCAAATGCATGAAACATTATATTTCTTTTGACCCCATAGTAAAAGTTGTTCGTATACGTGAGTACATTCACCCCTATAAGTTTATCACATGTTTTCGATTTTACCCTGTATATTATATGTATGTATGGTATGTGGTGTCTGCAAAACCCGAAACTAGTATACCATGTAATTAAATTTAATGATTTATCAGGAAAATGAGGCTGGCAAAAATACGGAAGGTAATGATACTGTTGATAAAGAACATTTCGAGGACTCGGCAGAATGTGAGAGCCATGAGTCTGAAAGCCTAGCGTCTGGAAGCCAAAAACCTGGGGCCCAAGCATCTGGAGGCCAAGAATCTACGACCCAACCACCTGGAAGCCAAGAATCTGCGACTCAAGCATCTGGGGTCCAAACGCCAAGGACCCGACCGAATTCAACATTTAAATCGCCAGCATCTAAAAAACAAAACAAAAGACCACCGCCAAATGACCCGATCATGCACGAATCCTTGAAATTGATGAGGGCATCATCACAAGCAGCTACCTCTGCCGCTTCTGCCGTTTCAACTCATTCTGCCGACCGATACCAAATATATGCCAATTATTTGGCATCCAAATTTCGAACATACTTGCAAACAACCTTCCTTACCGTTGAACACCGTATTAACCAAATATTGTATTGCGCTGATAGTGGACAATACGAATGTGTAAGTGGATATGGAGGATATCAATCTACTCCTAATAATAATCATACGCCAATGCAACCGCCAACCAATCGTAAATGGGAAGGTGAACATGGAGGGTATCAATCCTCTAATAGTGATACGCCAATACCGCCAAATCAGGTTGAAACCAATGAAAGTGACTCAAGAGACACCGATGACTTCAGTGATTTAATAAGGTTTAATTTATGAACGTGTTTGTATTTTTTATGTACATTTAAAAATTATGTCTTTTTTCACTATTAAGTAAAGAAAACATCGCCTTACCTTTATTTCGTCTTTTAATGAGTCGACAATAGCTTGACAGGTATCCCGAACTATTAGACTTATTGCTTGCTTCGATACTCTGAATAAATATTGCAAACTTGTGAAAGAATCCCCGCTTGCCAAGAATCTCAGAGTGATGCATAATCTATCCGTAACTGTGATCGCTTGTCTAAATTTGGTATCAGTCTTTGCAATCATTGGTCCAATTCTTCTTAATAAATGCTCGAAATCGGTCGGCGACATCCGAGTGAAGTTTTTGTATTTTCCACTAATATGTTGAAACTGTAAATCACGCAGCAATGCTCTTCCGCCATGTAGGTTTCGGTTCCTAAACAATTCTAGCTGCCACCAACGACGGCTCTGTCTTTTTTGTATCCTGTGTTTATTCATCACAATAAAACAAGCACATGTCGTAGCCACACTCTGAGCTATAACGGAGATGAGTTCTGGGTCCATGTCTGCACTGTATGGGAGTTCTTGACTAAATGAATCACAACGAGAAATGAAAGATCGATACGAGGATTGGCGAGACGATACGAGATCAAGATACAGTATCATAAAGTGTGGACGTGGTTTTTGGCCGAACTGTGGCTCACGCGATAAAAGATACGATATGGTCAAAATTGGCGTCCACACTTAAGATACGCATACTCGATACGGTACGCCTGATACGGATACGATTACTTGATACAAATGTGGACTAAGCTTAACACACTGAGAACTGTAGTTCGAAAAGAGTGGTGTCGAAAGTTTTCCGAGAATATGATACGTTTGGTGGAGTTGAAAATCAAGAAACGGAGCATGCAGTTGAAGGAGATGACGACATGAATATAATATATCCATCTTCAACAGACGAACTCGAAGTAGAAGATCCTTATAGCAGCGATGATTCCTTGCGTGACAGAAACTATGTTCCAGACTCATCCTCTTCATCTGATTCCGAACAATCATCCGAATCACGTCAATCATCCCCAGTGACCTTTAAGACTAATCAGACTGTAAGTAATAATGAGCAAACTGATGATTCCAGTGACAATGAGTGGTGTGACTTAGATGATGACGATGTGACTGACAATTTTGTCCCACAAAAATGTAAACTTTTAAATATTGACAAGAATGGCATTAAGGAACCCATTGACGCTTTTACTTGCCTTATTACCGATGAAATATTAGATTTAATTGTCGAACAAACTAATATTTTCGCCACTCAGAAGCAAGCTGAACAGCATTCCAGAAAATCCAGAATTAATAAATGGACTCCAACAAATCGAGATGAAATTAAAATTTTTTTGGGTGTCACGCTGGCTATAGGGCTTACTCAAGTTCCTCATATCAATCTATATTGGGCCAAAGATGACATATATCATAACCACTTCATTTCCAGTGCAATTAGTCGTGATCGTTATCTTTTGCTGTTATCATTTCTTCATTTTGAAAACAATGAGATTTGCGATAAAGCAAACAGACTCTACAAAATACAAAACATAATATCCAAGTTACTTAAAAATGTTCGAGAAGCCCTAAAACCTGGCAATACGTTAGTAATAGATGAATCTATGATACCATTTAGAGGACGACTCCTGTTCCGGCAGTACATCCCAAACAAAAGCCACAAATATGGGATTAAACTTTACAAGCTCTGTTCGCCAGAAGGATATACCTTTTTTGTCATTGTGTACAGTGGAAAGGGGGACACAAACGCTGAACTTGGCCATTCCCAGTCCATTGTACTAAAATTGTTGGAAAATGTTGAGCCAAAGGAAGGCAAAATCCTATTTGCAGATAATTTTTACTCCAGCGTCCCCCTTGTCAAACAGCTGTTAAAAAAGATGATGAACTGTGGCACATTACGAGCCAACAGAAAAGGTTTACCAGTAACTTTTTCTGTAAAAAGTAAAATAGAAAGGGGACAAATCATTTCCAAGAAAAAAGGAGACGTCAAGATTTTTAAATGGATGGACAAGAGGCAGGTGTTAATGATAAGTAGTGTACCATCTCATAAGGCAGATTTAATTCCAGTTGGAAAAAAAAATAAAAAAGGAGAAGATGTTGTTAAGCCGCAATGTGTGATTGACTACAATGCAGCCAAAAAGGGGGTCGATTCTTCAGACCAAATGTCTGCATACCACACTGTTCTGCATCGAAGCCTGAAGTGGTACAGGTGAGTATTCTTTTACATTATTTTAAAGTATGGCATACTATATTTTCTGATTTTTTTTAGGAAAGTCATGTTTGAGCTGATTCTTGGAACATCCGTGGTGAATTCCTTAATAATATATAACTTATGTGCTAAAGAAAAATTGAGCATAACAGAGTTTAGGCGTCAGCTAGCTTATTCCCTAGTCAAATCTCCAAACTCTGAAGAAACGATAAAGGTTCCAAAAAAAGAGTGCATAGTTTTCAAAAACCTGACCGACCTGGCAGGAAAAAGCGCTAGCCCTGTAAGGGTTGTCGTCAAATTTTGAAAAAATCTGGATTGAATTATCGCGAAATCGACAAAAAAGTTCGAAGGGTTATAACATATTGTTCTGATTGTCCAGGTCAACCTGGATTTTGTTTAAATTGCTTTAACGCTGCTCATAATTGAACTATGTAATACAAATGTTATGATAATTTTGAGCTATAATATTATATTCGTGTATTTTTTTTTTAGTTTCTATTTTTTCTAAGTTAATTTTAGGATATAATTTACATTTTCTTTAAGTTCTACACCGTTTTTTCAAATTTAAACTTAAAATAAATATGTTTACTTTTTGCATAATGAATAAATATAAGTAACCTAAAATTTTCCTTAGTTTTCTTGCGGCACGTGTCCCCGGAGGCATGTGCTATTGAAAATGCAGGCAAAGTTCTTTAATGAAAGCAACTAGAATTCATTCATATTTGAAAAAAATTTTAACTGGTGGAACTAGATGTCTCTACATGTCATAAATGCAAACATGCCACAGGAGGCATGTGACGCACAAAAAATAAAATAAGGCACGGGTCTCCAAAGGCATGTGCCGCACACCAAATGAAGGTAGAAATTGGTAGCCGCAGTCAACGTGTTAATGAGGATAATCATCATCCTGCTATCGAGTTTTTTTATTCCAACAAAAGGCTCAGCTTGTTATCTCAAGAGATCCGTACTGTTCACAACTTTAAAAAAGCAGACTACGAAGCTATAAATTCATTTTTGAACAATATAAACTGGGTCAAGTTGTTCGATGTCGATAGCTTGGACAAAATGGTTGAAATTTTTTATGAAAAACTAAACTCAGCAATAGCCTCAAACGTACCTACATTTAGAGTAAGAGGGAACTTTCCCTCTTATTTTAAGCACGATACGATCAAGAAGATCAAAGAAAAAACCAAATTTCATAAAATGTACAGATCTTATAAAGAACCTCGCTACTATCAGGAATTCTGTGAATTAAGGAAACAGTCAAAACAAACAATAGCTAGGGATTTCAGAGACTTTGTGAAAAACATTGAAGAGAAATAGTTTTAAATAGCAAAAAATTTTGGAAATATGTTGCCAGCAAAAAGAAAAATCACGAATCTATAGCCAGCACAGTTTACTATAAAGATAAAATTGCTCGTGATGGTGAAAATTCTCGGAATTTTTTTCCAGCGTTTTTGTTGAACCCAAATAGTTAGTTCCTCTAAAAGTGAATGGAAAGCATAGTATTTCATACTTATTGCCTTTAGAGACAGTCAAAAATCTCATTTGTAATATTGACGAGAACAAAGGTTCAGGACCCGACAACATCCCTCCCATTTTCATTAAAAGATGTTCGGAAAGTATATGTGTACCTTTACAGATTATATTTAACGCAAGTCTAAAACTAAAATATTTTCCTGCTAAATGGAAGGTTGCACATATACTTCCGATATTCAAAAATGGAGATAAACAACTGGTAACTAATCATAGACCTATCAGTGGTCTGTGCACTTTTGAAAAGTTGCTCGAAATATTGGTTTACAACCTTATAATTCCATCAGTAAAAAACAATAATCGACGAACAGCACGGATTTTTTCCAAACCGTTTCCCAGAATCTAATCTTTTGTGTTACACTGATTATATTTGTGAGCCCTAGATAGCAAGACTCAAGTCGATTGCATATACACTGACTTCAGCAAGGCTTTTGATAAAATAAATCATGAATTGCTGGTTGAAAGGCTTGCTGAGACTGGTGTTGACGATGCACTATGTCATTGGATATGGTCTTACATTACCAATCGTAAGCAAATTGTAGCTATCAACGGTTTCAAGTCGCTGCCAGTTACGGTTACGTCTGGCGTCCCACAAGGAAGTGACCTAGGTCCTTTTTTATAATTTTTATCAACAACTTAAAGAAATCCTTTAAATATGCAAATTGTCTATTATACGCCGATGACTTGAAAATATTTCATACAGTGAGAGACATTAATGACTGTAAAGAAATCCAAAGTGATATAGATACTTTTGTCAATTTTTGTGACAATAATGATTTGTTTCTAAATACTGATAAATGTACTTTTATTGGACTCTCCCCGAACAAATCTCTCATAGAATACCGGTACCAAATCAAAAATATACCTTTGAAGGAAACGGATATAGTGAAGGACCTAGGAGTCCTCCTAGATGCAAAAATGACTTTCCAACCACTCATAGAAAACTTGATTTGCGAATCAAACAAAATGTTGGGATTTATCTGTAGAATCTGCAGGGATTTCAAGAGTGCAAGAGCCATGACATCCCTATATTATGCATATATTTATAACAAGTTGAACTTTGCTTCCGTTATATGGAACCCTCAGTATATTACATACATAAATCGAATTGAAAGTGTACAAAATAGATTCCTGAAGAGATTAAGTTTTAAAATCGAATCCGGTACGTGACGGAAACTATGATCATATTAGACATTTCAATATCATGACCTTAAAAAGTAGAAGAATGATGTCCGACGTGTGTCTTATATACAAAATATTCAACAATTTTGACTGTCCCTATTTTCTATCAAAAATAAATATTAATGTGCCAGATAGAAACTACCGCCATTCCAAGTTTTTCAGGATTCCCTTCAGTAGAACGAATTTAGGAGTCAACTCACCTGTAATAAGGGCCCAGAGGGTGTTTAACGATACCTCTATAAACTTGGACATTTTTGTGGTTAATTTTAACAAGTTTAAAGCAACGGTAAGGAGGCAGCTTACATAGGATAGTATCATACTACCTAATTGTTTGTTTGCTGTGTACTGTTGTCAACCATTAATACTTTTATATAGTATTTTATATGTTTTGTCATCAAAGCTGTCTAGTAACGTGCTGTGTTTGTGTTTTTTGGTGACTAGTGCGATTCATGGAATAATGTAATGATACATGATAATTTTAAAAAAATTAAATTTTAAATGTATATCGTTTTATAGTAGTTGCTATATCATAGTATTGTTTATTCTGATATAGTAGGCTTGTGTTACAGATTTTCATATCTTCTGGATTTTGTAATCTATGTTTCTTTTTAATTTATCACTATAGTGAGCAGCGGGTGCTGTCTTTGGAATTCACATTCTGTTGCACCCCAAACATGAGTAAATAAATAAATAAATATACAGGGTGGCCCATCCATGTGTGGACAGAATATTACTCATAAACAAATAAATCTTGGGAAAATCTAATTATGGCATGTTATACATGACATTTGAAGGCACATTTCTAAAATATTGGCAATTATACAGGGTGTCCCAATTTTGACCTACATATCAAAGTTGTGTTTTTTTTAATGAAATGCCTCAAATTTTATTGCATGTTTGGACAAACCAATTCAAAAGGAGAAGATGGATATAACATACTATGGGGTTTTGGTAATTAGCTACTGAGATGTAAGGTGTTTTGTCCAGAAAAACCGTCCATTTCGGCAATCTCTCAATCCGCCATTTTGAAATTTGGAATGCTGAATTTTGCATCAAAAAAAACTTACACACTTCAGCTTTTATCTTATTTGTTACGAAGTGGGGGGTTTTTCTAGACAAAACACCTTATATCTCAGTAGCTAATTACCAAAACCCCACAGTATGTTATATCAATGTTCTTCTTTTGAATTGGTTAATCCAAATATACAATAAAATTTGAGGCATTCCATTCAAAAACTCACAACTTTGATATGTAGGTCGAAATTGGGACACCCTATATAATGGCCAATATTTTAGAAACGTGCCCTCAAATGTCATGTATAATATCCCATAAATAGATTTTCCCAAAATGTATTTGTTGATATTCCGTCCACATATGCATGGGCCACCCTATATATACTAAGTGACATATAAATCCGAACACCCAGTTTAAATGGTTTTATTTTAATAAAATTTTGTATAAGTACTTAATGAAGCATAATAAGTAAATGATAAAAATTTCAAAATGATTGCACTGCTTTAAAGCCCTTTGACCTTTAATAATGTGTGGATGCACCCTGATGTGCTACGCATTCTCCAACGCGCCTAGGCATGCTTCTGATCAGGTGGTCAATGTCCTCCTGTGGTATCTCATTCCAGGCAACCACCAACTCCTCTCGAAGTGCTTCTAGAGTCTGAGGAGGACGTTGCAAATTGAGCAATCTCCTACCCATCATATCCCACACGTGCTCAATTGGGGATAAGTCGGGAGATCTTGGTGGCCATGGTAACAATGTGACATCATTATGTTGAAAGAAGTCTATTGTGAGTCTTGCAACATGTGGTCGGGCATTATGTTGTTGGAAAGTTGGATCTGCCAGGGTGTCAAGATGGGGTTCTAGAACTTCGTGGATATAACGCTGCGCGTTCATGTTACCTCTGATGAAGATTAAAGGTGACCTGGAGCCATAAGCTATAGTATAGCACCCCAAACCATAACTCCAACAGTGTGAAGAACATGTCTTTCAACAAAAAACTGTGGATTCCTCCTTTCACCACGTCGCCTTCTAACCCTGGCACGACCATCGTGCATGCCTAAACAAAATCGAGACTCGTCACTAAAGACAATACTGTTCCATTCCTGATCCCAGAGTGACCGTTGTCTGCACCACTCAAGGCGATTACGTCGGTGTAAGGGGTAGAAGGCGACGTGGTGATAAGAGGAATCCACAGTTTTTTGTTGAAAGACATGTTCATCACACTGTTGGAGTTATGGTTTCGGGTGCTATAGCTTATGGTTCCAGGTCACCTTTAATCTTCATCAGAGGTAACATGAACGCGCAGCGTTATATCCACGAAGTTCTAGAACCCCATCTTTTACCCTATCTTGACACCCTGGCAGATCCAACTTTCCAACAAGATAATGCCCGACCACATGTTGCAAGAGTCACAATAGACTTCTTTCAACATAATGATGTCACATTGTTACCATGGCCACCAAGATCTCCCGACTTATCCCCAATTGAGCACGTGTGGGATATGATGGGTAGGAGATTGCTCAATTTGCAACGTCCTCCTCAGACTCTAGAAGCACTTTGAGAGGAGTTGGTGGTTGCCTGGAATGAGATACCACAGGAGGACATTGACCACCTGATCAGAAGCATGCCTAGGCGCGTTGAAGAATGCGTAGCACATCAGGGTGCATCCACACATTATTAAAGGTCAAAGGGCTTTAAAGCAGTGCAATCATTTTGAAATTTTTATCATTTACTTAGTATGCTTCATTAAGTACTTATACAAAATTTTATTAAAATAAAACCATTTAAACTGGGTGTTCGGATTTATATGTCACTTAGTATATATATATATATAAATTCTTCACTACCGTTTCCCTGTTTTTTCTTTAATTTTGGTTTATTTATTCTAAGAAATGAACGTTGTTAAGTATATACCTGTATGACTAGGGTTGTTTCTCAGCCAAAACATATTCCACTATTTACGAACTTCTTTCAAGTGTGGAAATGAAAATATCTCGTCAAAAGGGGATACCCCGAGTACTCTGCATACTCGACACATTTTAGCGAGTATCCGGTTTTGCCGAGTATTAAATTAGCCGGCCGGGTAATCAGTCGGTCTAAATGCAAGACACACAACTTGTGTAAATCAAAGAATTGTAGATGCAAAGTCCGAGCTCATATGCCTCTCCCAAACCTTGAAATGTTCTCCAAGAAATTAACGCATCATAAAAAATACAGCCAAGGTTACATCAAATTTTGCCGGAATTAGGCAATTGATTTACATGAATCTCTTCGTAAGTGTCAACCGTCTTCTCCAGTAAATTAGTATGATGTTACTACTAGAAGCTTTTTCATAAAAAATACGGTAAGTTAATTGAGCAGATACCATAGCAGTCTAATCTGAGACTACATTCTGGAATTGCCTTTTTGGATTCAACAGCTTCAGTTATAGAGAAAAAACGATCTTGGAAATTAATATTCGGTCACCCTGAATCTCAAAAACGAGCGAAATTTGAAATTCATATTTGGCTCAAAGTGATTATTTCCACATGTTTGATCTGGGATTGCTTTCCAGCGCACTCATCATCAGGGTTTCTTAGATCAGTATGAAAAAGAGGTGGGAGTTCATGTAAATACAAACACAAAAACGTAAAATATTATATGTATAGAATATCAATAATAACAATTTTAAAAATATATTCATTTGAAGGCACCAATAAAGGCACATTTGAGTATTATTCTATTGTATCTACCCCATCCTATCCATAATTTCTTTCTTACTCATCAGCATCTTTGCTAATTGCACTTGGTTACCTAAAAATAAATCCATCCTATTTCGTTCGTTTAATTCATGATACTTGATCTTCAAACTCATCTCTGTGGCTCGCATACAGTGCAGCTTTTCTTGATACTTGATGAACATCTCAAAAATATGCCCCTTATGTATATGATCATCATTCAGCAGATTCGAGATATCATTGTCTATCCTTATCAAAGGTATGACATTCTGGCATTTCTTCCTAGCTGTAATACATTGACGATATTTTGATTAACATTTAATTCCCAAAATTTTACTATATTTAATTCTTCAACCTACCATAAACATAGTCTTTTCCATAGAACGAAATATATTTGTACTCTTCATTGTCAAAGTGGCCAGTGTTTTTGTTTACATCTAATATGTTAATTTGTGATATCTTAGGATCATATTGTCTAAAGGGTATTGGACTGAAAATCTGAAAGTTCATTATGGTATTCATTCGGACCTAAAACACCAGAAAAGTCATGTTTTAATATTCTAAAAAAAAAAAATAGAAAACACCGTAGAAATTTTAAGTACCATATGAACACCTTTAGCGTCGACTTATTACACAGCCATGGTGCCAAGTTGCATCGCATTGCAAGTACAAAAATAGACTCCCATTTAAATGTTAAGGAAAACTGTATATTCTTAAAAGTTATTAACCCCAAATCAAAAATCATCCGTCAACCTCCCGCAGAGACTCGCTCGCAATTCTTTCTAAGATTTTGTATTCTTAGAATATCTCAACGGCGGAAAAAGAAATCCCATAGTCTGCGGCAACAAGGTGGGAACGCGTGAGGTCTATACGTATATAGTTGCAAGCATAAGTGGTTAGCAGCGACCTGGTACATATGTTTATTTTCGCACAGGCAAGATTTTCAATTGGATTTCTGGTGGAATATGTTAATCAATGGCTAATGGCATACCTACATTGCAATTTATAAGAACGACAACCGACGATACGTAGACATCCATGCCGACTTCAAGTGGAACGGTGTGGTATGGTCATTCGGTCAGGCGCTGTAAATTACATCGAACGATTCTCTACGTTGATAAAAAGTGCTTCGTCTGACGGTATCGCTTTTGGCATAACGGAGCGATTTTGAATAGCAAGCTTAACGCTTCGACAATGTCGTTGACTTGTCGAGCCCCATCATCGTATTTGTAATCCAAAAGTGTTGTTATTTGCAACCACCCTAACAGTGTGTCGCCAACGCCGCGCATTAAGCGTCAGTATGACATCAAGGACTGCGCCCTGTTCATATAACATCACTTAAACAATTATTAAAGACTTACACGGTTAAGAAAGTCGACAGTGATATTACAATACACATCCAAAATCAAGCACAGACTCTCCAAACCAATCTTCTTTAGCGCCAAATCAACAACAGCAAAATTGAGAACCTGAACATCTTCTACATACACTGGTTTTGAGCTCTCTGGTAGCCTTACTGACACCCATTGTATCTTTGCATCATCATTTTTATATCTACTGGCGGTTTTTGTCACAAAATTTTTTACTTCCCCAAACACATCATTAGTACCTTTGCTACCACTATTATATTGATACAATAAAACAGGCATTAAAAATGTTTTTTCTTTCCTATCCATTATAAGTGAGTTATAGTTTCTGAGAAATTCCATAGCCAATGCAATTTCCGTTTCTTGAATTGGTAGGATGATATTAACTCTGCTACTCTCAGTTACATAAGGCACTGGAACAAACTCAACGCTGCCTAAAGGTTTACACACTTGAAACCTGGAAAAAATACGTTGATTTGATACCATACAGTAGAAAGTTCCAATTTCGCGCACTTGATACAATCAACCAGTCAAATCAGCAAAATGTATAAGAGAGATTACCTTTTAATCACTTTTTCTCCTGTAGAAGTATCTTTGAGACTCATATCAATAACATAATCCATTCCTCTGCTCAAGTCAAAAGTTCTGTAACCATTAACAAGCCCTTTGTGTTCAAGTACGCTGTTGTGCTTACTTGAAGTTTGTGCTTTTATTTCATCAATGATGTTCTGCAATACATATAATCTTTATAAAATTAACAAAATGTTTCAACAATCACATAAAGTCCTTTTCAGCCTCCTCCCCACTAATTTTTTTAACGGGTCAGCATAGCTGACATTAGAAGTAATAAAAATGATGCATTATTATAATAATATATTTCAAGATATATAACAATAAAGAGGACCGCATTAAACATACGACAGAAGAATTTACATTGAAACTGGCTGAATTTGAAGTATGTTGTACCATTGATGAACGTATTGCACTAGGATGAATATGTTACTCAATGGTTGTACATTATGATGTCCTGATAAAGCATCTCCATGGACATACACTTTTCCCGACCGAAGGTGAGGAATATATTTGCCTCACAATCCTCTGTATTAGAGCTTAAGAGATATTTTTACATACTGTCAAACTACTCAAACGACATATGTATGTGACAAGCAATTAGGCTGTACAGGCGATTTTCGTCATGCGGCACATCACGTTATTATAGGTGTCTCTCAGATATGATAATAAATCGCAATTTTTGGCTGTAATAGGAAGTGGCGTGAATGCCAATGTAAGGAAATTATTTTTTACACTAATACAACCCCTGAGAGCAACAACCCAATTACTGAGGCACCGCGATTGATATGAGGAGTTTGAAGACACTTTGTCAATCAGATTTGTGAACTAACCAAGGCTGGTAGAACTTGGAAAAACCTCATCGGGTAGATTGTTACACGATCTCAATACCTCAGGAACAAATGCGCGGTCGTACCGAGTAATTCTGGATGTAAGAATTAGGTTGGGATGCAGACGCCTGGCGGGCCCGGCTGGCGCGCTCTACGCGCAAAAGTGTACAGTAATGAGGTTGTGGGGAAAAAACTACTTCTTCGTGATAAACCAATAACTCAATTTTTTCCCAGCTGCCGCGTTTGACGAAATATGTTTGTGTCAAATCAAGCCCCCGGTGACCCGGACTTCAGCCAGCCGAAACGAATGGCTCCTTGGCAAGAACTCAACCATCCATCGAAACCGGATATGCAAGATAGCTTCTTATCAAGCTGTGTTGTAAGCATTCATCTGTACCATACCGTAGCGCTCCCATTCGGTGACCACTTACAGATCTCTCGTCAGAGATGAAGACGAAACGAATGGCTCCTTGGCAGAACTCAACCACCCATCGAAACCGGATATGCAAGAGAGCTTCTTATCAAGCTGTGTTGTAAGCATTCATCTGTACCATACCGTAGCGCTCCCATTCGGTGAAGACTTACAGATCTCTCGTCAGAGATGAAGACGTTACTAGTCTTTTTCTCTCCATCTCATCGGCAGAGATTGACATTCTAAATACCTGTATACAGGACGCTGCCATCCGCACAGCTGTGGATCGGATTGAAGGTACAGGAGAGGAAATAGTTTATATGTAACAGAAAAGAGCTAAGAACAATGGGATGGAAGTGTGCGTAAGAGGGCACTATACCACAGCTGATTGAAAGCTTTCGTGACATCAAGAGCAACGACAACTCACGTATGCTTTGTAGGAAAGGTATCATTAGTATTTGATAGCAGTAAATATTCAGTAATATTGCTTGTCTCCGCATCGTTGTTCCACTTGAAACAGATTTAAAATAGTTCCATTGAAGTTACAGCAGCTGCCGCGTTTGACGAAATAAATTTGTGTCAAATCAAGCCCCCGGTGACCCGGACTTCTGACAGCCGAAACGAATGGCTCCCTGGCAGAACTCAACCATCCATCGAAACCGGATATGCAAGAGAGCTTCTTATCAAGCTGTGTTGTAAGCATTCATCTGAACCATACCGTAGCGCTCCCGTTCGGTGACCACTTACAGATCTCTCGTCAGAGATGAAGACGTTACTAGTCTTTTTCTCTCCATCTCATCGGCAGAGATTGACATTCTGAATACCTGTATACAGGACGCTGCCATCCGCACAGCTGTGGATCGGATTGAAGGTACAGGAGATGAGATAGTTTATATGTAACAGAAAAGAGCTAAGAATAATAGGATGGAAGTGTGCGTAAGAGGGCACTATACCACAGCTGACTGAAAGCTTTCGTGATATCAAGAGCAACGACAACTCACGTATGCCTTGTAGGAAAGGTATCATTAGTATTTGATAGCAGTAAATATTCAGTAATATTGTTTGTCTTCGCATCGTTGTTCCACTTGAAACATATTTAAAATAGTACCATTGAAGTTACAACGTGGTACTGAAATGTTCAACCAATACAACCATAAAAATCTACTAGTTTTATCGAAGTATAAGTCCTATTTAACAACACAATTACCACAATTAGACACATTTGGCTGATTGATCTGCCTCTTATATTTGATCGTCCCTTTAATCGTGCCTGTTTCCAGCATTTCCAAAGTGTTCAAGTAATGCTGTACTTAGCTACCGGATATGCGGTTCGTATTGCGCGTATGCTAAAAAACAATAAACTTGTGACATGAGCATATGTTCCTAGAGTGCATATATCAACAAAACTAGCAGATTTTTGCGGTTGAGCTGTTTGAACAATCACCTAACATGCTGTGCATTCAAAATGGTACTATTTTAAACTTGTTGCTTGTGAAAGTACGATGAGAAGATCAGCAACATTACTGAATACTTACATACTATTTAACAATATGCAGTTCCATAAAAGACATACCTACTTTCCTTAAACTGGCGCTTGCGCTACTAAAATACCGTGTACTACCGCCTGAAAAAAATCGCGTTCACAAATATGATCTAATTACATGCCAAATATAATCCGAGTGGTTTGACAGGTCGAAAAAAGTCATCTCTGCTAAAACATAGGCGTCCTTTCATTCATTTAACCTGGTAAAGTGTTGTCGACATCGGTCAATGTCGCGATGTCATAGCCAATAACCAGGGAATAAAAGAGGGAAATGCAACGTGAAATGACAATTTAAGGTTATGATATGGGTAATAAGAATGTCTGCGTACACACAAAGCAATAGAAAATTTGAAGAAGAAAAAAGTTATGATGACAGTATTGTTTACTTTTGGACTGTGGAAAAACTTGAAAATCGAACTTCACTATTACTGCTACTACTATTTAACGCCATACGAGTATCAACTAGTATGGAGTGAAAAAGTGAGAATATGTAGGTTTTGAAGTTGACCTAAGAGTTTATGTTTGATGACACAGAAACGTATTAACAATCAGTCATGTGAAGCAAGCGAAGCGAATGGTGCTTTTGCTATTTGCAAAGCGCGAGGCATGTTTTAGAGCTCTATTTAACTACGACCAAGGAATATACCCATATTCAAAACTTAGCAAAGTACCGACTAAAGGACGAGCATTTGGTTAAAGCAGGTTGAAGTTTGTTAAAGGAATGACAAGACGCCTAAAGTATTGTGAGGAAGATATATTACTGGGTACTTAATATTTATATTCCTCACCTTTGATCCTTGATATCTCTAAAACTGTCCATTAGAAAACGTCGTGTCTAACTCCACTGTAGACCCTTCTGTGATATGTGATGTGCAGTCTATTTCATGATAGCGCCTGGATGCCATCTACTTAGGAACATATTTTTGAATTGATTTGGCGTCATGCGGTACCGCCTTATCAGTAATTTATAACTCTAGGGTATACATTTGCTATATCACAAAATGGAGGACGGACGAGCCATCAAAGTTTATTATCGCTTACAAGTCAACTACTAATCATCAAAACGCCAAAAGTATGTTATGCCAGCAATGAACTGTCAACACTGATGGAACAGGCGTAACGCGAATTCATTGCGGCTAGAATGAGAAACGAGATGGATAGCGCTAGTCAGGGCAAAACATTGGCAAAACATCGTGTTCCATTGTGGTATTTCCATATATGTTCTAAGGATTTTTGGTGAATATTTGTTTTTAGTGACGTTAAAGATTAATAGTGATAGTTTGCGACAATTATTATAAACATTTATATGCCGGACAGCCTTCAAGAGCTGTTGTTTTATGTGATATTTGTTTAAAAATGGTTGAATCTTGCAGTGCGGTGAATTGTTGCAATAGACGCAGAAAAGATGTGAAAATGTAGTTTCACAGGTTGGTTTTAATCATCTCATTCATTTTTCTGTGAGAATTACCTGTTAATTGGTAATTCGAGAAAATATCTGGATTTTTAGGATACCTACAGATCCTAACATGAGGAAGTTGTGGTTACATGCTATAAGAAAAGAAAACTTCACTCCCAGTACAACAAGGGTAATTTGTGAAAAGCATTTCACTCCAGAGGATTATGAAGTTAGTGTTCATGGAAACAAGGTACTAAAAAAGGTGGCAGTTCCATCTGTGTTTGATTTTCCAGCCCATCTCAAGAAAGAACCTACCCATCGAAGGGTTTTGAAAAGAAAACATGAATACATAATTTCTAGAATGAACTATGGTATTATAATGAAAAACTGTACAGTATTGTTAATGCCATTGTGCACAAATATTTTGTATACATATATATATATATATATATATAAGGGTTTTTTCTTTGTACACTTTAATCTCTACAAAACTGGACATGTTCCCACTACATTTAGTGTTGACAGCTACAGTACTATAAAAATAAATTTAAATGTGCATAAATACTATTTGGAACATTATAAAGATATATATAAAATAACATGTATTTATTGTGATATTTCTTAGATCTCTTATTTTTTATATGTAAGATATAGCATATTAGAGCAGTTAAGTTAATTATAGGCAGACATGTAATCTCTTTGCTACCTGATTTACTTATGTTAAATACTAATTTTTATACCTTCAAATGTGTAGGGGAGGAGAATTTATTGTCAAGTTTCATACATACAGGGTGTCAGCAAAGTTGGGGTTTTCCTTTACACGACGTGTAGATCTTGAAAACATAAGCAATTTTTCTTAGTACCATATACACCAATGTCTTAAGGGAACCGAGATAAAGGGCTCTGCAACATCAAAAATATCTGAATACCGTCCTGTAGCCGCAACATCCCCCAGTGGTACTAGGACACTAGCTCAACCCGACGACAGAACTGGGTCGGGGTCAGTGTGTCAGGTCAGTATGCAACCTTCAACCGACGGTTACGGTCACGCGTGTAGAGGCAATCGCGTAGACGAGAATCTCTAGAGACGTGGCTAGAGAAGTGCAAGTATCAAAAACTAAAGTGTGGCAAACGCTGCGTGAAGAGAGGCTATTCGTTTCACGTCCAACGTGTACAAGCCCTTCAACCTGACGATTTTCCAGCAAGAGTGCGGTTTTGTGAGTGGTTGTTGCATCAACATGACAATAATCCTGACTTTTTGAAGTGCATATTGGTGACAGACGAATCTACGTTCACGCGTAATGGGGTGAAAAACTTTAACACTCATGTTTGGTCAGTAGAAAATCCGCACGCTGTCCGTCGGGCACATTTTAAACAAACATTTTCGGTGAATCTTTGGGCTGGCATGGTGAACGGTATGCTCATTGGACCATTTATTCTCCCAAATCGATTGGACGGGATGCAATACCTAGACTTTTTACGCAACATTTTGCCTTCCTTGTTTGCCTGCGTCTGCTCGGTAGCGCATCAGCTGATTTAATTTTCTGTTGGAGCGGTATGATTTCGGGCAGAGACGTACTTAGCCCTTCTCGTCAACTGGAGAGTGAGTACTTTTTCCTTTATTTTTTTTTACTTGGTCGCCCTCGTTTCACTACATATTACCTTTGTTATTTCAAGGGCAGTTGTTTCTGAAAAGGAAAACCCCAACTTTGCGGACACCCTGTATGTATATATAAATAAATAAACTTGGTTTTTTAATTATAATTACGTTTCCAGGATTTTATCTCGTTCCAGTTGCCTGAATAACATTTAAATCTTCTCTAAGAATCCTCGGTTTCCTATGCAATTCATTAAAGTCCGCGCGCTTTTTGCCCTGACTAGCTCCATCTCTCTCTCGGACCTCTTTGTCGTATGTTGGCCGCATTATCGTTTCATTGTACAAATGAAACAGGGCGATTTCCATCAGTATTGCCAGTCAGAATCAGCAATAAATTATGGGGGATCACCGGATCAACGGATTTTGCCAGTTCCTCAAATGGAGTGTTCCATATTTCAATAACATATTCGGATAGATAAGAAGATAGAACATTTATCTAACAACTCTAGCATTTTAACAAGTCGTAAGGGATTAAATATACAATAACGCTCAAGTTTAACAGCCTACCAGTCCCCCAGTTTGAAAGATAATGAATTTATATTCCAGGGTAATGGAATACTCATAGAGAACAAAATATCATATGACCCGCCACCCCATTTAAGACAATTTCAAAATGGCGTCTAGCCGCCATCTAGAAATTTTTAATTGTTATATTCAAATATCCTAATCATGCATCAGTTTTGTCAGCTTGCTAGCTTGAAGGAAGGCGAAGAGCAAAGGGTGAGAAATGCAACTATTAGTAGAGGGAGTTGCTAGGCATTGTTGGAATGAGTAAAATGATTTTGATTCGCTAAAAGAAATAATTTTGGAAGGAAGAGTTTTAATACAAAGTGCTTTGTAAGATTGAAAATGCATAATTAGTATTGTTTACACTGCGACCAGTGGTCTGGAATGTTTCCGAATTTGCTCGACTATGTGGTCCAGTGACTCACCCAACAAAGGGTTGGAATGCGACTCCGCTTGTTCATAACGTCGCTGCGCCAGATAGTTAATGTAATCGCCTAAATAAGCGATGTCGAGATTTCTGTGTAAGATCTCATTTGAGACATACCATGAGGCATATGCCGCCCTTGCCCCCTAATGGGCGTCCACTTTAAAATTGATCAGTCCAAAATGAAAAACACTTAAATTCTTGTGCATCATATCTTCTTAAGTTACAGACAAACGATAAAATGTTAGTTTTATTTTTGCAGAAAAATAAATCATTGTTTAGATCAAATATTTAGAAATCTTAATAGTGAACGGATATCTAAGGGCATATATAATTACCATAATGTCAATCAGTTCAGGTTCAGAATGACGTCGCACATTTGTGAAATCATCAGGAAAAAACACATGCGTCATGTTGAAGTAATATTGTCTAGCCACATCAAAACGGGTAGCTGGTTTTGCTCCTTGCCTTTGTCCTGGGGGCCATGTATCATTTAAAATTTTGGACAGATTTTCGATTTCTTCATTTATTGTAGTTAACCTTTGCTGCAAAGTGTGTAGAGAGGGTTATCAAATCGAAGAGCATCTATACTCTATTTCACGAGTATCCTTCAACGCCCGGTAAACAGACCCGAATTTTGCTTTGATTTGTTGTACGCTACAGATTCATTTATTACTTGCTAACAGCTCTTTTATTTAGAAAAGTTCATTTGTATACCAAAAACAAATCGCTATAAACAGGTTTTACTAGATTTTCACCCGATTCATTATTGCCAACGTTGCAGACTAACACAAAAATGTCACTTGCTGATCAGCTGTTCACCCCAGTAGACGTCAAAGCGTAATGGATACTCGTGAAATAGGGTATATCAGCTAATAGTCTAGTCAGAGTCGTAGTGAGTGACACGTTACACATTAGCTCATGAATCGTGTGAATTCCAAGTGTTTTCGTGCTCAATAATAATTATATCTACTGTCTAATCATATATAAACCTGTGATCCAACAGAAAGTGATTAAAAGTTATACCTATAAACAGTTTACTATTAACCATCAATCAATTTATCCAGGTGAGTCAATCAAAACCTACCTAATCGTGTTTTTTGTTTCCCGGAAGAAGTTCGAAACATAAACAACTAAAAAACCTGTAATTTTTGTTGAATTTTTGGTTACAAGTCTGATAAGAAATAGCTATTACATGGTGCTTCAATTGTGAATTATGAAATTTCACATTTAATGATAACGACTATGTCGCTTGGGACGTTCAAGTGCTGTAAGAATAAGGAACTTAGATGTAGGAGTATTGTTTGTATCGCATGCTTCAGATTATTTTACAAGAGTTGCCTCGAACGCAAAGAGTTCGTGACTATTGTTAAACACAAAATAATATGTAGCAATGAAGAAGAAATAGCAGAGCTCAAGCAGGAATTAAATCATAAAAATTCATTCATAGATAAACAAAGGAGACAATCCAAAGCATTCGAAGATGATGCAATGGAAATTGAAACACAATATTCACAGCAGCTTCAATCTCGGGATCTCAAAATTCAAAGACTAGATCACGAGCTACTGAAAGAACAAAATAAAGTCATACCAGTCAACTCCAGAAAAAGTATGAAGAAGATATGAATCGATAAAAAAATGAATCTGATACCAAAATAAAAGCGTTAATACAAGAACTAGCAGATCAAAGATATAAAAATAGGGATACCAACAACCAACCAAAAACAGTAAGCCATGAAACTCTTACTATGAACCTGCTAGATGAGTTAGAACAGACTGAAAATCGTCCAGAACTTCCACTCTCATCTCAAATAGAAAATAGTAACAAATCTCAAAAAGTTGCTTGGAAGGAACTTAATCTTAATAACGAAATAAAAAATTATATAAAGAAAGAAGTAGAGATCTACGTGGGAAACTAAAAAAGCAAGAAGAGCAATCTAGAACTCATAGCGGGGATGCTACCCAGGAGAATCCTCTTATACAAACCTATTCAGGAGTAGTTACCAAACATAAATCTAGCTCAACTAGCACAAAACCACCACGAAAAAATCTCATGTTACAGTTAAAAAAGAAGCCGTTGACAATGTCAGACTCTTATTGTCAATGCATCCTCTAGAGTCGTGTCGAAGAACATTTAGAGGTGAAAAAATACTCATTACTCATCCTAGAGGTGTGCCTTCATGTAAAATCATATCCTTCCAAATTCACTTACCTAAAAGAGTCTCAGAGATACAATCTAAGGAATAATAACATTACATTAAACAACTATAGCCTCAGCACATATCGTAATAGCACACACTATCTATGTGCATCCAGCTCCAATAATTTGCCCTCCGAGTTAAAAGCGATCAACAATTTAAAAGTCTTCAAAAAACATCTATTAAAATACTTTTACCAAGTGTTTTTACTCTCTACAGGAGTTTTATAACTTTTAATAATTGCGTATTTGTCTGTTTTATTGATTATTTTACTTATATACATTTATACCGCATACTGTTTTTACAACTTATCTATTTTATTCTAATTTAGTCATATATATTTTTCTGTTGACGTTTCATATCCGCAATTTGAATAAAAGTTATTATTATTATTATTATGAGGTGGTTAAAGGCAAAATCTTTTTACACTGAGTACCGTCGTGGCCCTTCCGGAATGCGTGATATGAATTTTACTGAAGACGATAAAGTAGCAAATGTCTTGATTCTATAACTGTTTCGATATCCATATGATTCAATCTGATCATTCAATTTGGACATATAGATCATTTCGGCCACATAGAGAGGACTTCCGATGCGCCATGACGACATGTCGCAGAAGATATTTCTATGAAAATGGCTATATGGTACTCTACTGTAGTGTTATTTTAATATGACGTCACGACCTGGCCCCAGGGTTGCCATTTAGTTCAATGTACATTAGCTTCGCATTTTTGCTCACTTTCTGTAGATGGTTTTTCCTTAATATTTCCGAAACGTGTTGAGATAAAGACATAAAATTTGGTATTCTAGCCTAGTTTTTTATGCTGGATTTAAAATTACTAGATTAAAATCAAATTTTTTATTAAATCGATTTAAAATGCTAAGATTTACAGACAGAGAACTGACTGACATGCATTTTGTGTACGGGTTTTGCAATGGCAGTTCATTGGCAGCCGTAAGAGAATATCAAAGAAGATTTCCCAATCGCATAGTACCTGGACGTCGAGTGTTTGCTGATATTCACCGGAATTTGTCAAACCATGGAAGTTTTCAGCGCCTGCAGGGCTCAGGAAGGCCACTGGGAAATCATCGTATGGATATTGCTTTAAATATGTTTGAAAATAATCCGCAAATAAGCATACGAAATGTTTCAGAAAATATTGATATAACTGGATCAATAGTAAGAAAAATTTAAGAATACCTATTTGATAGTTATCCTAAAAATAATAATTTTAGATAGGAAGAATGACAAGAATGCAAGGATTACATCCTTATAATTTTAAACGGGTGCAGCATTTAACGGAGGCAGATTTTTTACTCCGAATCGATTTTTGCCAGTGGATATTAGCAAATGAAAACACTATTCCTAGCATATTATGGTCGGATGAGCCAATATTTACTAGGAATGGTGCTTGTAATTTCCATAACATGCATCACTTGTCAGATGAAAATCCAAAAGTTGTTCGCCGTCCAACATAGATTTTCATTGAACTTATGAGCAGGAGTAATTGGGGATCAAGTAATTGGGCCTATTGTACTTCCCAATCGTCTTAATTCAGAGGTGTATCTGAACTTTCTTCAGAATGAGTTCATGCATATTATACCATTGGATGTGCGCCAGCAGTTTCAAGAAAATATGTTTTTTCAACATGATGGCGCCCCTGCACATTTTGAACGCAATGTTCGAAATTGGTTGAATGTCAATTTTCCAGACAGATGGTTAGGCCGAGGAGGTCCTATAGCGTGACCGCCACGTTCACCTGACCTAAATCGGTTGGATTTCTATTTTTTTCTATTAAAAGGCCTAGTTTACTCGACTGTAGTAAATACTCAAAAAGATTTACTTCAAAGAATCCATCAGGCTGCAAATGAAATAAGAAGAAAAAGGTTTTCCACTTTTCGGGCTATGCAATCATTAGTTCGTCGAGCGAGACTCTGTATCCAACAAAATGGGAATTTATTTGAACACTTATTGTAAAGCTAGTTTTAAGTATTTCCAACTGTATGTTTTCTTTTTTAAACCAATTTCAATTTCGTTCGTAGAAAAAAATTGTTTCTTTTGTTTTTGCCTAAATGTCAGCTATGTTGTAATAGAAATATGTATTTATGTAATATTTACCAATTATTAAATTAGTTATTTCGTTGCATGGCTAATTATTCAACAATTCATTTAAATTTGCAGTACATTTCCCATCATGTGACAAATTCTTTAGTTTGATTTTATTCAATGATGGCACAATTTATCGATATTCAATAAGAGCATCTTTTTATGTAGAAGACCCTAAATTTTCAAATTCTAAAATTCAATTTAAAAAATAGAATCACACAAAAATTTTGGGGCTCAAATAACCTGAGTCCGTCCCTGTTACATACGCTTCCAAACAAAACTGTCTAAAAATGTTAATATTTTTAAATCCAGCATAAAAAACTAGGTTAGAGTACCAAATTTTATGTCTTTATCTCAACACGTTTCGGAAATATTAAAGAAAAACCATCTTCAGGCGAGCCCCTTTAAAAGACCGTAGCGCCCTTATGGGACGTTTGTCGACCTATGTTTATATAAACTTTTCTTCCTATTCTATGCTCTAGAAACCGCTGGTAGAATATTGCACACTTTTTTCGGGCCACCCTGTATAGCTATTTTTCAAGAACTATTGAAATGCGTTCCTTTGCGCTGGTGAATTGTTTAATGAAGGGGAACAGAACAAAATGATGTTGGAAAACTCAATGTTTTGTTCAAAGTGCGACGATATTTATTGATTAAATCAGTGAAGAGGAGTCCCTTGATAGTAGAACAACCAAAATATGCGAGAATTTGTTCCAAGAATATTATAAAAGGTAATATTCTTAAGAAATAAAAATGGTAGAACTATACATGTATTTGAAAGGGGCTCCTGCAGGTTTAACAAACAAAGATGACCTTGATTGGGTTCCTAGTCTAAACATCAAATACTACAATCCTTGAAAAAGGATAGTAACTAAGGTTGTTAAAAGATGTGAAAGATTACAGAAACAAACGAAATAGAAAACTTGCAGAGGCGAATTAACTTGTATATTCAGTGAATTTTATGTTCACATACACAAATTTCTGAAATCTGTGATGTATCTAGTCGAACTGCAAAGTATATACACTCATAAAAAATGAGTAAAATCTTGTAGTTTGACATTTGAATAAAATACTTCGCCTCTTAACAGAATTCGCATTGTCAAAATTGTAACCATTAAAGCATAGATTGTAATAGTTACAATTGGTTTTGCTCACAATAGTATATTCAGTAAATGTATACAAAATTCTTTATAATAAATTAGCGTTATTTTGGCTAGAATACATAAGATCAAGAAACCAA